CTCCGCCCTTGATTGCGGCACGCTTGGAAGGTGCAGCGATAAACGCTTCGCACCCGCTGACAATGCTCGTCGCGGGCGACATCCTCGCGCGCCCATCCCTCCGTGTCGGAGTGGCGAACGCCGTCCTTCGAGAGAGGGAATGTCTTCTCCCCGGCGGGGCAGCGACAGAGCCCCTCCAGGCCCGACGCCCCCAACCTTCCCGCGGAGGCAGCCCACCCCAGCGATCCCCGCCACGGCTCCCGACGGCCCGAATCGCCCTGCCGGCGCCACCGGGCGCTGCCGCGGGAGAACCGCTCGCGGAGGCAGCAGCAGCCCTGGCAGATGCCTTCCCCCCCGGGGGCCCCCTCGTCGACCCCAGCGTCAGAGGTCGCTGCAGGCCACGGCGTTCGCCGGGGGCCCGCCGCCTCTCCTGTGGCAGAGGAAGACCGCCTGCCTCGGGGCGCCGAGCCTCCGCAGCCGGGGTCGGCTGCAGGTCACCACCGCGCCGCACCAGTAGAGCTGGCCCTGCGCGTCGGCGGTGGGAGATGGCGCGTCTCCCTTCTCCGGGCGGGCGCGCTCCCCATCGATGACGACCAGGAGGCGGTTGGGCTGGCGGTCGCGGACCCGACCCCACCACCACCACCACTAGGCCGTGCATCCTGCGGGGCGCGTGGGCGGAAGAGCGCGCGATTGGCGACTCTTCAGAAAATCCACAAGAGAGAGCGAGCACGCGGAGCACCCCGCAGTTGCGAAGCAGGCAGCTGAGCACAGCGCGACTGTGAAGCAGAAGATGACGCGCAACACTGCTGCGAGATACAGGAGGAGGGAAAAGACAGGGGGCCCGACCCCGCCCCTAGAGAACTTCCGAGAAGAAAGGGTCGGACGCGGGGGCGGCATCTGGCCCCCGCCAGTCGAGCCCGCGTCGGGGGGCAAGCCCACGGCTGCTCCCCCGCGAGCGCCGGCCCCCTGCCCCTCCCATTATAATAGCAGCCCAGCCCAAGCTCCCACGCGCGCCCATCGGTCCAGTCGGCACCGGCGACGAGCTGCAGCGCTGCCCCCACGGGCTTCCAGATCCAAGCCCCATACAGGGCAGTTCTTTATATATAGGATTTGAAACTATAAGATTTTAATACATGATTAGTGTATGAGTACATTTATGCATGAACTCCTCGTTGTGTTTAACACTAAGTCCCTGCATTTGTAATACATGATCCGCACGCGGAGCATGTATTCAAAACGGACCTGTAAGGCCCAGGAGAGGAGCCGCCCAAGTTGCTGGAGGCCCCCGTCTACCCCGCGGCCCCACCAGCTTTCCGCCGACGGATCGGCGTCGTCTGCTGGGGCACGGCGAGCTCTCCGCCTCCGCCCCCAGCGTTCGGGCCCTGCCACTGGGCCCCGCTCCGCGTCCAACTCCTCCATCCAGCGTTGGGTCTGCTCCCACCAGCCGTGCTCTGAGACGCTCTCCTCGCCCGGCCAGGTCGCCTCCTCCTCCTCCTCCTCGTCCTTCGGGGTCGGTTCCGTCCCCCTCAGCTCCCGCCGGGTCGGGTCCGTCCGCCGGATTGGTGCAGTGGCCTGGCGGCCCTTTGGGCTCCTTGCCGTCCGGGCCAGGCTGCGGATCGAGGGGCGCTCGAGAAGGGGCGGGCTCCTCCCCCGCTTTCGCCTTCGCGCCCTCCTCCTCCTCCCCGCAAGGCCGCAAGCGAAGGGCAGCCACGGGGGTTCTTCGTCCTCGGTGGCCCTCCAGGCCAGCCCGACGACGGCGCCCGCGGCAAGTCTGGCGACCGCACTCGGCCGCCGGTGTTAGGGGGCTCCCGGGTGCTGGGGGGGGATGTCGGCCGCTCCCGGGGCTGTCCCCACCGCCAGGGTCACCCAATGCGAGCCCATGGCACCGCGTCGTGTCGGGTGCCAGGAGCGCCATGGGTTCTGGAGGCCCGGGCCCCCTTCGCCAAAGCTGTTCCAACCCGCTCGAACCACATGGCTACGGTCAGGCACGGGAGGAAAGGGGGAAGGGCAGGGAGCGACAGCGGGCGCTGCGGGGGGAGAAGCCCGACGTTCATGGCAGGGCCCAAACAAAACGTAGAGCCCTATGAAGAGGGAATTTAGAGGGAGGGTTCATTGCAACATCGCTGATGCATCCTAGGTTTAGACTGGTCCTCCTCTTCCTCCTTCTCCTCCTCCTCCTCTTCCTCCTCCTCCTCCTCCTCCTCCTCCTCCTAACCTCCTCCTCCTCCTCCTCCTCCTCCTCCTCCTCCTCCTCCTCCTCCTCCTCCTCCTCCTCCTCCTCCTCCTCCTACCCCTCCTCCTCCTCCTCCTCCTCCTCCTCCTCCTACCCCTCCTCCCCCCCTCCTCATCCTCCTTCTCCTCCTTGCCTCCTCCTGTTGCTCGCGGCGGGCGGTGAGCAACCTGCAATATCGCGTCGTGCCATCGCGCGCTGCAGCGCCGCGCCGTGCTGGGTCAGGGCATGTCGTGTCTTGTCGCGTCGCGCGCACCGCGTCGAGCCGCGTGCGTGCCCAAACGGTGCAACTCGAAAAACTCACTCGCAGTCCATACGCCAACCAGCGCGTGGGCAGGACAGCAGGCGCAAACAGCCACGAGAATCCGCAAGCGGTCGATAGTTCGCCAGGGCGCCGGGAAGCACTCCCGACGCGCCCAGCTGCGTGCACCGGCCGCCCCCCCCCGATATACGCTCGGGGTCCTCCAGGGCACTCCGCTTCTTCCGAGACGGCCCAGAAAGCCACCAGGCCGCCAGGATGGCCCAGCATGGCCTCGAGACGCACCCAAGGAGCCCCCAAGAAGCGGCGCGAGATGTGTCCCCAAAGACACTCCCAACACGCTCCCCAGGGAGCCCTCGAGGAGCCACAGGCCGTGACTATCCACACGCTGCTCCTTTGCTTTCACCTTCCACGCTCTTCGGCCGAAGTTCGGGCCACCTGCGGTCTTCGAGGGCCCGCCCACAGGGGACCACTGAGAGCCCCAAGAGGGCCTGGCTCACGATGGCCCCGAAAGAGCCCCGAGCTGACCGGAGGGCCGCCGGAGGGGCCCACGACGACCCAAGAGGGCCCCCGGAGCCCAAGGAGGCCCCACGGCGGTCCTACGACGGCCTCAAGAGAGCCCCAAGATGATTCGACAGGGGCCCCAGACAGCTCAAGAGGGCCTCGGAGGGCCTCCAGACGTCCCGGGACGGCCCCAGAACGGCACGGCTGACTCAGCATGTCCTAACAAGACCTCCCGGCGGCCCAAGGAGGCCCCGGGACGGCCTCACGACGGCCCCACAAGACCCCGAGGACGGCCAAGAGAGAGAGAGAGACGGCGCAGCAGGGCCCCAGGACGGCGCCCGAACCAAGCGCCCAAAAAGACGGCCCGAGAGGTCCACAAGGGACGTCCAACACTGCCCCACAGGAGTTCACGGCATCCCCAAGAGGGCCCAAATAGCTCTCACGAGAACTGCTCCACAAGTGGAGACGAGAGATGTCGTGACGGCCTTCTGGGCGGTGCTCGAAGGGTCACCATGCAGAGTGCTTCGCTGGCACGGTTGCGGATTCGCCACAGGCACTGATGGACCTGTTATCCACCACTACCACCACCATAAGTTGGAGGGGGAAGGCGTCCTCCTCCTCCTCCTCCTCCTCCTCCTCCTCCTCCTCCTCCTCCTCCTTCCCCCCTCCAACGTATAGTGATGGTGGTGGAAAACAGGCCCATCAGGCACCTCTATATTCTCTGAGATGATGCCACCGTGTGGACCTCGATCAGTGACCGTGCGCAACATACGTGGCACCACACATGCGGCGCAATGCATGGGGTGCAGCCTATGGGGCGAAATGAGTGTCAACGTTTGACAATAGCTCCAACGCCCGAGCAGACATCCCACGTTGCCAGTGCTGGTGCACGAGTTCCCCCCCCCAAAAAAAGGCACGCGAGCGAAAACACCACGCGTGCAACGACGAGGAAGCGAAGCAGGATAAAAGATGTGGAGGTAAGCAGCGCGTGTTTGAGGCCAGTCACCAGCCGCCAAGAGGATTGGTGCCGGCGGGAAGGGGCTCACGCGTGACCCGTGGGCTCCACGCTCCGCAGGGAGTTACGCTGGTTTGCCCGTGACCGATAAAGCATAACGCAATACGTCGTCACTTGTGAAGTCCGCCTGGGAAGCTACGAAAACCGAAGCGAGGCCGCCGCTCTTGGGACAGCGACTTCCGAATCCCGTGCTGCTGGTGCGCGCGACGTGCGTGAGAAGCCACGCACGAGGTATGCCAAGGCCTTCAGGTTGCTCTCGGTCGAGTGCCCTCGTCACCCCCGTCCTCTCTCCCTGGTGCTGACAGCGGGTGGCGGCTGGACCGCCGCGTCGTTGCCGTGCCGCGCCGTGCCGATAGTGCAGGGACGTGCACCGCAATACCGTCGTGCTGTCCCGTGCCATGTGATATTATGTCGCACTGCGGTCTGTCGTGTGGTGTCCTGCATCGGCGCCGCACGCAAATTCGCGAGCCGAGAGCTTTGATCAAATACCCCAACAATGTTCGCGAGCTTGTGCAACAAAAGACTAACTTCACTCTGGCCCGAACTGTGTTCCTGCAACACTCGATGGCAAGATTGGCGGCACTGAACAACACGGCCTGTACAAACTGTGCAAGAGGCAAGCGATGCCATGATTCTGTGCGAATCGATCGAGCAGAACCAAGGTGGATAGCTCGCTGCCCAAATTTCTCAGCACGGACGACGTACTCAGCCCTGAACCTACTATAAAGAGCCTCACTTACTCGTTAGTCATCACTGGGTGACACTCAGAGGAGGTGCCGGCACCATGCCGGAGGGGCCTGTGCACGGCCATGCGCACAACTCACAACACACCAAGAGAAACAGCTGCAAGATTGAGGGCATCTCTGAGAGACGCATTCGCTCAGCACGTGCATGAATACAGAGGTCATGCAGCCACCAACCAACATGCGCAATCGTCGACAACCACTTCAACAACCAATGCGCGTTTCATGTGCAATGCGAACAAGCAAAAAGAGCACGAGTATCCGAACAGCCTAGATGGCAAGAGGATGGTCGTCGTCTCCGTAGAGCTTGTGCCACTTATCCTCCTCTCAAGCAGTGACAATGGCAGACAACAACTTACCATATGACAGCCAAAACAATGAGGGCCAAAGGCGGAGATCCGAACAGTTCGAAAATATGTCGCATAATCTAGCCTTGCCGGGCCCCAGTCAACACCTCTCTCTCTCTCTCTCCCTCTCTCTCTCTCTCTCTCTCTCTGCGCGCACGCACGATGCATGAAACCGTACAGATGGGAATGCACGTACATACACGTGCGTATGCTGCGTTTCGCCCGTGGATGCCAGCGCGGCCTCTTTTTTAGCGGTGCCAACGTCGTGCTCCGCTGCCTTGCCCCATGGTGCGTTGACCAAGTGGCCCAAGTGGCGCCGTCCGCCAAGATGGGCCACGCAGCCAAGAGCCCCTAGGAAGCGCCCACTAGGCCGAGAAGCAAAAGACATTGATGTCCTCGTGTGTTTCCATGTTGTTCGCTCTCCTCGCTCGTCGGTCGAGGAGCCGTCCGCCTGCCCTTCCAGGGCCCAACGGGGCCCACTGAGATGCCCACGAGGGCCCCTGGTCGGCAGAAGACGGCCCCGGGAGAGCTCCAAGCTGGCCCCAGGGGGCCTCCAGAGGGACCCAAGAGGCCCCAAGGGCACCTGGGACGGCCCAAGAGGGCCCCAAAACGGCGCAGCAGGGCCCCAAGTCGGCTCAGCAAGGCCTTCATGGCCCCAGATCCCCCCCAAAAACGGCCCCAGGTGGGCCCCTGGGGGTGCCCCAGACGGCCCCACAAGGCCAAACAGGTCCCAAGACTGCCCAAAAACGGCTGCACGGGGCCCCCGAGCCCGCAGACGGGGCACGGAGCCTCCGCACGACGGACCCGCAGGCTCGCCTCAACGAGTTGACGTCTGGACTGCAGCGAAGCGTCTAAGCCTGCGAAGGACGGGTGCGTGACGCAAGGGCTACATCATGATGCCTCTTTACGACATCACCTAAAAACCTACCATTACCAGTAATAATCGCTGACTTGGACCTCTTGGCTCGCTAGGGTTCCAAGAGGGCCTCAAGACGGCTGAAGATGACTTCAAGACGCCTCAACACAGCCCCAAGAGGGCACACTAGCACCCCAAGATGGCCCAAAGAGGCCCACAAGACGGTCCGAGGGGCCTTCAAGACGGCCCAGGACGACCCCTTGAGAGCCCCATGGCGGCCCAGAGATGCCCCCAACACGGCCTCCAAGGGGGCCAGACGGCACAAGAGCTCCCCACGATGGCCCAACACTCCCAAGACGGCCCCCAAGACGGCCCCCAAGAGGCCCCCAAGAGGCCCCCAAGAAGCCTCCAAGAAGCTCCCAAGCGGCTTCCAGGAGTCCCCACGACGACTGGACTGTACGTGGTCCGGACGTGCACCCCGCGAAGCGAGAGGAGGCCACGTCCGAAGGTGACGTGCTGAGCGGCAGCTTCTTTTGGCGAACGCCATTGATGCAACGCATCCAACGCATCAAAATATCGCCTAAGTACTACGAATCGTATTATCGTATGTAGCCCCCCTAACCTCCCCTGGCGTCGCGCCACATCGGCGGACCATGGTGGCAAAACCCCTTTGGGGCCCAAGAATGTGCCAAAACGTTGGGGAAGAAAAAACAATCTATATGCTCACACATATATATATATATACACACATATATAAACATACATACATACATACATACATACATACATACATACATACATACATACATACATGCAGGCAGGCAGGCAGGCAGGCAGGCAGGCAGGCAGGCAGGCAGGCAGGCAGGCAGGCATGCATATATATATATATATATATGTGTGATCGGCCTCTGGGGCCGCCTGGGGGTCCACCCAAACACAGCCCCAGGGGCCCCCAAGAGGGCCCCAAGTCGGCCCTAGAGGGCCCCAAGATGGCTCAAGAGGTCCCCAAAACGGCCCAAGAGAGACACAAGGCGGCTCCGCGAGGCCCCAAAGACGGCCTCCGAAAAGGCCAGACGGCGCAATGGCGCCCCAAGACGGCCCACGAGGACCAAAAAAAAAACCCAAGAGGCCCCAAGAAGGCCTCCAAGAAGCCTCCAAAGGCCCCCCAGAAGCCTCCAAGAGGCCCCCAAAAAGCCCCCAAACGGCCCCAAGAAATCACCATGACGCCCGTGCAATTGCATACGAATGGCGCATTGTTGCATGCCCATCGAAATTTGAACTTGGCGTTGCCTTGTGCTGACACGGGCTGAATGCACTTTCCCCTCGTGGACATTCGCACGCTCGCCCCGGCGCCGAAACGGGGGTGGGCGCATCTGCCAGGCAGCGCCCCGGGGCGGGCAGAACGACACGGCAGACCTTCGCGGCAAACGAGCATGGCAAACCACCAAGCGACAGGCATCCACGTCCAGAGGTGACGTGCTGAACGGCAGCGTTGTCTGGCGGACGACTTGACGCCACATGTCCAATGTATCCAAGTTTACATAGTTGCTACATATTACACTCTCGTACAATATGATGTCTCCCCTAAGCGTCCCCTGGAGTCGCGCCACATCGGAGAACCGAGGTGGCAAACCCCTCTTTCTGGGGACCAAAAACGTACCAAAACGTACGGAAAATATAAAATTTCGGCCTCTGGGGCCTCCTGGGGGTCCAAGGGGGCCTCAAGATGGCTCAATGCAGCTTCCCAAAGGCCCAAGACGGCCCCATGACGGCCCAAGATGGCCCCGAGAGGGCCCAAGCGGCTCCCAAGACGGCCCAAGCAGTGTGAGCATTCCAACCTCCATGTTGCTCTATGCTTCTTTAAGTGTCCCTCTGTATCGGCATGGATTCCCACCAGCCCTTTGGGCGACAGGTGGTCTAAGAAGGGCCACTTTCCCCTTCCACAACCCCTTTTTCCCTTTGGGGAGGGGAACCCTCCCCCTCCCTTCCCCGAAAGAGGCCCACAAGACGGCCCAAGAGGCCGTCAAGACGGCCCTGGAAGACCCCAAGAGAGCCCCAAGACGGCCTCCGAAGGGGCCAGACGGCGCAAGACCGCCCCAAGACGGCCAAAGAAGCCCCCGGGAGGCCCAAAGAGGCCCCCAAGAGGCCCCCAGGAAACCTCCAAGAGACCCCCAAGAGGCTCCCAAGAGTCCCCACAACGACTGGGCTGTGGGTGGTCCAGACGTGCACCCCGCGAATCGAGAGGAACATATGGGGTACACGATCTAGACTGCAGCCTGTGGGGCGTGCACCCATCGGGAGACCGAGAGGGAACAGTAATGCCGCGCACCGCCATGATCCAACAGAATGCCTGGTGACGGAAGCTGAGCCATTCGAGAACAAACTAAAACCCTCAGTACAAACTGCTCGAGAAACTGATAGAGGCCCCCTGGTGTCAGCTATTGCGGAACCGTGGACGAGCAGCAGCGAGCCTCGACCCCGCACTCTCACGAAGAGAGCTCGGCCCGTATCGGCAGTGAGTTTTTGTCAATGCTTTCATTGCCCATGATGAAGGCCAAGAGCATGCACAACCTCGCAACAGCATTCCGCCCATCATCCCCCGGATGCCGCTCACACACACACACACACAAACAAACAAACAAACAAACAAACAAACAAACAAACAGACAAACAAACAAACAAACTGACTAACTAACTAGCTAACTAACTAACTCATACACGTGAGCACACAAGCCCTGGGTCCTTGTATGCCTCTCTAGACCGCTGCGGAAGTTCAGGAGGCGTCCTGCTCACCTGCGGCAAAGCACGAAGAAGTCGAACGGATTGCAAGTAACGCAAGACATACGTCAGCGCTACGAGCTCAGAGCAAATGTGCAAGGACGAACGATGCTGAACGACCTGTGGCACTTCATGCAGGGAGGCGTAATATTGGAGCTGCAATGGATTACATTCCGTGCTGTGCCACTACTGGACCTCCCTTGCGATACGTGAAGACACTATATCCGCCACCATGCCACGAAGCACTGAAGGGAACGCCCTCGAGTCCCTTCGAATCCTCCACCATAATGAACCTGGTCAGACAAAAGCGGGAAGCGCGGCCCTAGTCCAATGGGGTTACTGGGCGAAGAAGAAAAAAAGGAAGGCGAGGGCGACGACGAGGAGATGACCAGGACGACGTGGAGAACGTGAGGATAGCGAGGAGGAGCATGAGGACAACGAGGACGAAGAAAAGCAGAAGGACAAGGACGAAGAGAACGAGGGCGAGTAGGAGGACGGATGCGGAGGACGATGACGACGACGAAGACGACGACGACGAAGACGACGACGGAGGACAGTAAGAGAAATGGAGAAGGACGCTGAATCAGGAGAGGGTCCTGGTGACCCTATCGGGCTACGCTGGGGGCTCCTGGCGCCGCGCAGGGTTGTCTTGGAGCCTGTTGGGGGCTTCTTGGAGGCCTCTCGGATCCTTTTGTAGGCTTCTGGGGTCTTCCTGGGTTGTCTGGGCGCGTCGTGGGGTTCTTCGGGGGCTTTCTTGGGCCGTCTCGGCGATATCTTGGGCCGTCTTGGTGGGTGCCTCCTGGAACGCTTTTGGGGGTCTCTTGGGGTCATCCTGAGGCGCTCTTGGGTGCTTTTGATGCCCTCCGGGGCATTTGGGCCGTTCGAAAACCCTCCGAGAGCGATTCGAAGACGATGTCGATTCAGAGTCCCCTCTGGGGCCGATTTCTTGAGGATGTCTTAAGCAAAACCGCCACTTTCAGAAACAAGATCGGACAAAAGCGGGATGCGCGGTTTTAGTCCAATGGGGTTACTGGGCGAAGATGAAAAGGAAGGCGAGGGCGACGAGGAGATGACCAGGACGACGTGGAGAACATGAGGATAGCGAGGAGGAGCATGAGGACAACGAGGACGAAGAAAAGCAGAAGGACAAGGACGAAGAGAACGAGGGCGAGTAGGAGGACGGATGCGGAGGACGATGACGACGACGAAGACGACGACGACGGAGGACAGTAAGAGGAATGGAGAAGGACGCTGAATCAGGAGAGGGTCCTGGTGACCCTATCGGGCTACCCTCGGAACTCCTGGCGCCGCGCGGGGTTGTCTTGGAACCTGTTGGGGGTTTCTTGTGGGCCTCTCTGGTCCTCTTGTGGGTTGCTGGGGTCTTCTTGGGTTGTCTGGGCGCGTCGTGGGGTTCTTCGGGGGTTTTCTTGGGCCGTCTCAGCGCCATCTTGGGCCGTCTTGGGGTTTTCTTGGGCGTTTGGGGGGCGCTCTTGGGCACTGCTGGGGCAGTCCAAAACGTTTGGGCCGTCCGAAAGTCATCCGGAACCGATTCCAAGACGACGTCGATTCAGAGCCCCGTCTGGGCCAGATGTTTTGGTAATGTCTCGAACGAACAACGACTTCTCAGAAACCTGATCCGCCAAAAACGAGAAGCGTTGCTGTGACTACGAAGCAGGATGGAACGTTTCGTCGAGAACTCTCAGAAACACCGCTAATCCGATGAGCTGGTATGCCGTGTTGGTCAACCGTGCTGGTCTGCCGTGCTGGTCTGCCTTGTTGGTCCACCGTGCTGGTCTGCCGTGCTGGTCGGCCGTGTTGGTCAGCCGTGCTGGCCTGCCGTGCTGGTCTGCCGTGCCCGTTTGCCGTGCCCGTCTGCCGCGCTGGTCTGCCATGCTGGCCTGCCGAAGCTGACGCTGAAGCTGGTCGGCCGTGCTGGTCAGCCGTGCTGGTCTGCCGCGTTGGTGTGCCGCTGGTCTGTCGTGCTGGTTTGCCGAGTGTGAATGCGCACGTCTGGACCGTAAAAACAAAAAGAAAAGAAAAACAGGATCGCAGGGGCGGCGGGAGAGGGCCAAAGCCGATAGGCGTAGCTACCAGGCCGATGCAACACCTCAATCCCTCGACACGCCCTGCCCGAGAGAAACATATGCAGGAAAAGGCTCACTTACGAACAAATGCGGCGTCTGGCTAAGCCAGGAAGCGCGCGAGAGCGGAAAACCTGAAGACGCCCGAATTGGCAAGCCGCAGACGCGAACACTGACAGAGCAAACCCCGGAAAGAACATGCACCAGAGGACAAGCAAAGATGCGCTTCAACGGCCTCGAAGCATACCCATGGAAGCGGCGACGCTCTCAATCCGAAGGTCGGCGTCCGAGCCCTGCCGATGGAACGCGAGCAACTGCGCGACCGCGCCGACGCCCTCGACGGCGCCCATAGCCCGCAGAAGCCCGAATGAAGCGTCGCTGGGGCGCTGGGGCGCGCGGGCCTGCCGCTGGAAAGCCTGCGCGAAGTCGAAGATAGCACGCCGCGCGCAAGCATCTTCCCCTGGCTGGTCTCGACGACGAGGTGGCGGAAAACGGCGCGCCGCCTCCAACGGGGCCCGCGGCCTGCTCTAGCCCCTCGCCGCGGGGAGGCGCTGCCTCCTGACTCGGGGCCCAGGGGTCGCGCCCCGCCGTTCACGCGGGCCTCCGCAGCCGTCGCCCCCCACGAAGACGACGGAGAGGCCGAGGCGCGCGGCGGCGCCAGATCCCCTCCACGGGCGCCGAGTGCAGGGCCACCGCCGCGCCGCCCGCGGGCGCGCCACCAGCCGCCGCATCGGCCCTGGCGCCGGGGCCCTCGGCGCCAGCCGCATCGACGCGCAGATCCCCATTCATCTGCACCAGGCGGCGGGGCAGCGGCGGCTCGCGCCGAGAGCCTCCGCCAGCGCCTGGCCCACCAGCGCAGGCCGGCACCCCCCGCGCCGCTGGGCGCCGAAGGCGCGGAGCAGCGACTGGACTGCGCGCACCTGCGCCCTCCTGGCCCGAGCGCGGCGCCGGGCCGCCGCGCGCCGCGGCCGAGCTCACGCGCCGGCGGCAAGCCAGGGCGGCGCTGCCATCCACCGCCGCCGGGGGGGGCCGCGGAGAAAGGGGGGGGGCGCGGGGGGCGGCGGCCGCGGGCCGCCCAGCGCGGACACGCAGGCCTCCGCGCCAGGCGGCGACCAAAGCCAAATTGGCGCTGTGCTGGTCGGCCGCGCCAACCTGCCATGCTGGTCTGCCGCGCGAAGCCTGCCGTGCTGGTCTGCCGTGCTGGTCTGCCGTGCTGGTCAGCCGTGCCCGTCCGCCGTGCTGGTCTGCCGTGCTGGCCTGCCGCGCTGGTCTGCCGTGCTGGTCTGCCGTGCTGGCGTGCCGCGCTGGTCTGCCGTGCCGGTCCGCCGTGCTGGTCAGCCGCGCTGGTCTGCCGCGCTGGCCTGCCGCGCTGGTCTGCCGTGCTTGTCTGCCGTGCTGGTCACCCGCGCTGGTCTGCAACGCTGGTCTGCAATGCTGGTCACTCGTGCTGGTCAGCCGTGCTGGCCTGCCGTGCTGGTCTGCCGCGCGGGTCTGCCGCGCTGGTCTGCTCTCTGGTTTGCCGTGTTGTTCTGCCGCACTGGTCTGCCGCACTGTCTGCCGCGCCGGTCTCGCGCTGGTCCGCCGCGCTGGACAGCCGGGCAGGTCCGCCGCGCTTGTCTGCCATGGTGATCTGCCGCGCCGGCGCGCCGCTACGGTCTGCCGCGCTGGCCCGCCGCATGCGAGCGCGAATGTCCGGGCCTCGAAGGCCAGGGAGGGGAGAGCCCCCCAAGGAAAGAAAGAAAAAAAAAAAAACGGGGGGCGGCCACTTTGGGCCGGCCGTCCGCCACCTACCACCCTCTGGATTAAAAAGTTGTGACCGGCACTATGCGAGAGAGCGATCCCCGCGGGTTTCGCCGGTCGACTGGCCCTCGAGCCTCCACCATCGATGAGCCCCGAGATGCCTCCAAGGCAGGCCCGCGAACCGAATGACGGAACGGCTCCGCAGGGCGCGGAGCTCTGCAGCACAAATTTATGGAAATCATCGCACACGAAATATTTGTCTTCTGGCGGCATGGAAGGCAACCTGAAAGTGCCGTTTAAGGACGTCATGAGCGAAACGACTCTCAGGCGGCATGAACATCGATCTGAAACCTTGCGCGAGGAAATCCTAAGCGAAATCGCCACTTTCAGACGGCATGGGGGAATTTCAGATCGCCCTGGAAGGCGATCTGAAACTTTTTTGAGGATGTCCTAGGCGGAATGCCACTTTCAGACGCCGGCCCATTAAAGGGGGTGAGGTATGCGTCTGAAACTCCCATTTCGGCATCAAATCCGACATTGTCCTGGGCCCCATGGCCTAACGGGTGGCCAACAGCGTCTCTCTTTTTCTCTATTTCTCTCTCTCTCTCTCTCTCTCTCTCTCTCTCTCTCTCGAACCCCGCCGTCCCAACTTTTTAACCCAGCGGGTTGCAGGGCAAGACTTGGGGCCTCACGCGCCGACGCCAATCCCCAGGCGGGACAGGGCCATCGGGAGCACCAAAAGGGCCACTGCCGCATCCCGAGACGCCAGGCCTACAAGGGCAGACGGGCACAGAGGGCCAAACGGTTCTCGGGGCACCGGACATCCCTGGGCCCCCGCACGTCACGCGCCTGCAGCCTGGCGGAGATCCGCCGCAGCTTAGGCGCGCGAACGCAAGGGGAGCAACAACGGAGAACGCGGGCAACTGGAGCCGGGACGGACAGGGCCGCGGACATCACCCAATGCCAGTCACTATCGCTCTCGGAATTCGCGATCTGGCGGGCGAGGCGCCTTCGCACCCCGCAGCGCTCGACTGCGCTGCCGCCCTCCAAGCGCCACGCCCCCCGCTCGGGCGCGCCGCCTCGGGGGCCCCCCGGCGCCGCCGCCGCCGCGCGCCCAAGGGCTAGGTCCGCGGCTTCGAATCCACCAGCTGGCTCGCCTGCAGGGGCTGGCTGCGAGCTCCACGCGCCCGCCGA